CTTGCATCCTGCCGCAGCCAGGAGGTCGGCCCAAGTCCCATAGGTCGAGCCATCGTGCTGCTTCTGTAGCGACAAAACCACGTAGTCCTTGCGGAGATGGAAAGGACTGGTCTGGCACAATGCCATGTTGAAGATCGTTGCGGAGGAATCGCCATGCCTTGCCATCCAAATTGGGCACCTGCAAGTCTATTCCACTTTGAATAATTTGAAGTCACAGCGAATGCCTTCAGAAGCCCTTGTCTTCGGGGGAGCAACTCGTCTTCGTGGCATTCGTCTTCGGAATTCGTCTACTCGGGGGAGCAATTCGGCTTCGTTGAGCGAATTTGCAAAGTGCGTCTGTGGAATTCGTCTTCGTCTGTTTGTGGTAAAGTGATACCCGCGCAGTGGGGTCAATCTACCTTTCAACTCCTTCATTTGCTTTTTGGCTCTTTTGAACTTAATTCCGAGGTTTATTGTTGCGGTTCGGTCTATCGTTGCTGGACAGGAACATATCCGCCAACAGTTTTAGTTTGGGGGGAGCGCTTTAGCTGTATTTATCACATTAAATCACATTAATATACATTATATAATCAAAAAGGCCGAACACTTGGCAACTTGCCCCAGGAAAATGAATAGTTTATGGAACCCTGGCACCACCAGTCTGTGGTTAAATGAACTCCAGGGCTCATAATGTTGAAGTCCATGTCGCGTCTGAGCTTGGCGATGGCGCTATGGGGAGCATCTGCACGCGTAATGGCATTGGTGGCCTCGAGATCTGACTGTCGACCTCACCTTGTCATCTCTATTCGTCTAGTCTATCCCCTACAGTGTCACCATGAGTCTGGACCATGAGGAAGCCATGAGCCCCTCGCCAAGCCTTCTAACCGGTTAAGATACCCGTGCCACGGCCAGCACCAGCCTCCTTCATCTTGCAACAGTCCGCCTTGATCAGGGAGTCGTCCACCGACGCCAGCCCGGTGGTGGTGCTCTCCGCCAAGACCACGAGACCCTCTGCCAAGCTGTCGACACCTTTCATGAAGACCTCCACCTTCTTGAAGATGTCCTGGCTGTGTCCCCCGAATCCGTCATGACGAAGTCAACACACAACCATGAGCGGGCAGTACAGGCACTCACTTCTTGACCTCAAAGCTGACACTACATGAAACTACTTACTTTTCCTGCTTAAGTTCCTTCATCCCATTTAAGATATCGTTGAGGCACACAGTTTCAGAATTCTCCCAGCCAGCCGAGCCCTCTGAATACCCTCCACCCTCCCAGCCAGCCTGGAGCGTCACGTCGAAGGAGATGAAGTCTTTGACGATGCCCTCGAAGACGGGATCCACCGGCTCTCCCGCGAAGAAGCGCTCCTCGTGCTCGTCACGTAAGCTGAGCTTGGCTCATGAGCTCAGATTTGGATTCTAGTCTGGGGTATGAGTATGACATGTATGAGTTGGGCATCTTTGTGAGGAATTTATATGATGTTTTATTTGGGCATCCTGGCCTTGAGTACCTTCCACTCCATCGTGACGGCTGAGATTTGCTCTCCATCCATGGCCGGTGCTCACCGGCACCGCGGTGCCGGAAATGGATCGAGAGGAAGCAGGGGGGGAAGAATCGACTTGCAGCGGGGAGAGCATGAAAGCAGCTGTAGAGCATGGAGAATGGAGGAATGAGGTGTGCAACTTGCAATGGCCGTCTTGTTGGAATGTCTTTGACCTGAAAATTGGTCTTCTTTGACCTCCCATCATTGAGCCAAAGGATACAATGCAAACTAGAAACCGGAAGCGGTCATCTTCCGCAAGACTGAGCCCTGTGAAACTTCTCTGCGGCAAAGTAGCGGACAGTATTCAAGTCTCTTTGGTGAATTGCTGCTTGGGCTACAGTGCCAATCATCCGTGCAGATTTACCCTATAGTCGCTCATGTCAGGCATTCGTAGTCCTACCAGCCGGACTCTATGTCAAAAAAAACCTTCAAAAAAAACACAGGATCTGTAAAACAGTTCTTCCATCTTTGGCTTCTCCGTTCCCATCTCTAACGTCCTCTGGCTCGGGCGGGCGAGTGGAGAGGACCGCAGTGTCTGACCTCGTGGAGAGGCGGCCAGTGGAGGGCATGCAAGCACCGCATGAAGCAGCAAATGGCGAAGTGTCCACCCACCTGGTCTTGGCAATGTTGACCTTACCTCCACACTCATCACAAAACAAAATCAAAACAAATAACATATTAAGCCTTGCCAAGCCTTTAAATACTACGTTGCCCTGCCGGTCTCCACCCGTCCGTTCCTTTTCCGAGGCACATCTCGATCTCCCCCAGCGCCAGCGGCTTCCTCACCAGGTCGGGGCTCTCGGCCTGCGGAGGAAGCGGAGGCCGCGTGGAATTCGGCGATGTGTATGAAATATTACCCAGACACTCCATGGGACTGCCATATATGCCGATCAGTTGGGGTGGTGCCAGGGGGGGTCAATTTAAGCATATATGGCAGTCCCATGGACTGTCTGGGTTATGAAATTACAAACCCAAAATTACGCCGGCATAGACCCCAGATAGCGGGTGTATAAGTATATTCTAGGGATCATTGACCATTCATTGAGGCATTTCATGCATGTTCGACACCACGCCTACCACAGCCACCTCCCAGATTCTGCGGAACCGACATAGGTTGATGGAGCGGGGTACACTCGAGGCGACTCACGCGATAATGACTCTGTTACCAGAGTGTGACAGGACATCTTCCAAAAAAGTAGAGTTGTCCTGTGCCTCCATGAGTAGTATTGCAAACTTACAAGCCCCCTTCAGATGCCCTCGAGCGTAGATTTCCTTGGCGAGGTCTCGGTGTTGATCGTCATTGCCGATCCCATGTTGTGGGCATATCCCCGCGAGCTCTCAATGTGAAGGCACCGTCTCTAGCAGTTTGGGCCATTGGCTTTTATCAACTGGAAAAAAAGGACTTTACCTTCTGCCTTGCAGTACTTTTGCGCGGTTTCTGTGCGAGTTGTTCTCTTGAGAAGACCTATGTGGCAGGAAGTGTGGCAGGACACACTACTTCAAGCCCATGTGAAGAGTCGAAAACACACAACTTGGTTTACTTCTCGTACTAAAAGCGGGCTAGCGTGTTTCACCCTTTGTTTTTTGCTGCTTCATACATTCTTTGTGACGCTACTGTGAGTCTCGTGCGCATTCTGATCATTGTTCAAAAGATGTCAATATATGCACGTATAACCCAGGGGCAAGCAAACCCTGTGAGTGCAGGTGGGGTCTTTGCGTGTCTGGTTTCTGGATCCAACCGGATTGAACGGAGCGGAATGCGGCGTCACTATCCACGCCAAGAGGTCCATCCGTTGGCGTCACGAGAGGTCAATCTCGGCCGGTTCCGACTGCCCGGCCTCCGCCTTTCTGTTAGGCATAACCCCCACCACATAAAGCAGGACTGCTGCAACTGTGGCCTCGACTCGTCATCGAACTCGGGACCATGAACCCCCCCCTGGTCACATCATAGATGGCACCTCAACACCTTTTCCGTAGGAACACGTCGTGAACAACGCTCCAACACGGAAGCACAGGGTCACCGGGTCTTAGCGGATCTGAATGGGTCGTTAGTGAGTCGGAGTGTACCATTGGGGATCGTTCGGAGATGAAGCGACTGCTCTAGGCCAGTTCAGCACTTCCGCTTTCGAAAGCATCTTTCAAGAACAAGGCCTCTGAAGCCCTGCCAAATAATGTGCAAATTATATCTGACGCCGCTGACGCCTGTTAGATACCGATAGCCAGCCCAAAAGGGCGGCCAAAGATCCTAAGGCCGTTCAGATTGTCCCAAGCAATGCCAGGACGCAATGACGTAGAAGATCTTGTGGCCTCTTAGAATTGCACATCGCTGTGGCCTCGGAGACAGCATGTTAGGACCCTGGAAGCTGCAGGGCTCTTGGGACTCCAGTGGGTGGGAGACTGTAAGGTTCTCTAGCTGGGAAAGCCGTGTGCACAATCCTGCGCCTAGTCAATGCAACCATGCATTGCAGAAGCTTGCGGAGCACGCCCAACGAGAAAACAAAGGCCAGTGCAGAATACCAACATCGACCCCAAAAGAGCTCCGAACCCCTCGAGGGCTCATCCTCAAGGTCTCTTCAGGACACAAAACCTCCGAAAACCCCTTGCAAGGACGAAAGGGTCTCTGCAGCTCGGCATCTCAAAGCGATGCCGCATCTTTCTGCAGTTTCCTTTTTGCCGCATCCTTTCGCATCTACTGAACTGCCTCCCTGCGCCCCCCCTGTACAGTGATATAATGGGTGGGTTGGCCTGAAATGGCCAAGTCGAAATTCCAAAACCTGCCTACATAAGGTCGCCTTCCCACCACCGGGCCGGGACCAGTGTGAGAACTGGCTGGCCGGACTCGTCGTCGCTGCTGCTTTCGAGTGGTGAAGCGCTGGGTGATGCATCCATCTTGACAAATCAAGATCCATGACCTTGAGCCCTGGATCCCTGCGGCCATTGCACTCGGCCGGCCCCTGCCTTTTGGCCTCCGAACGTCGCAAACACACCAGGATCAATGCATCTACTCTTGGTGTGCGTGTGCACTGGCATCCTCTGCTTGTCATCACAGGAACCCCGTCGAATGATTGCGGCAACTGACTGCGCTCACCCCAGTCTAAACGCTTGGTATCACGAGCGTGCCCTGACACGAAATTCATGGAAAATCATGGAAGTGGATCCCTAAAGTGCGCAGGTGGTGCTGTAGGAGTCTGATGAAAGTTCTTATATATGACGCGGGGTGGTCGTTGGGTGTGGGGTTCCCGGAATCGATGCAGGACAAGGACCAGGAAAGGGACCAATGGACCAGGGGACCTACTCAGGATTATGTTTGTTTTGATCCCGTTCTTTGTTTCTTTTGATCTAGATGCTGCAAAGAATGGCCTTGGGGTCTCCTGTTGCGAGCATTCCCATTTCAAGCAGCTTGCTGGCCCAAAGGTTCGCCCTTTCTCATCTACTAGAACTATCATACCGCTTCGTTTGTCTTCTGGCATGTGAGGTGGTAAAGTCCAACACTGAACACAGCTGCTGCAAATCGTGGCAGAAGAACAAGACTGTACCTGTGGGGCTCTGTGGAGCCTTTTTGGGTGCGCTGAGGTTCATCGCAAAAGTAATGACATGAACTGCCACCCCTGCCCTTAGCACAGAGCCGCATCACAGCCACGACATCTCGATTCCGCTTTTGACTGCCGCCCGGCCAAACTGGTCAGAGCATCAAGAAGGCAGTGGCTTTCTCAGTGAAGGGCCAGGAGGCATCCCTGGTCCACCTGAATTGCTGCAAGCAGCTGAGCAGCTCAGAGCAGCTCTAGACAGAACTCTCAATAGAACTGTGTGTGAGGTCACATGTGAGAGTACATGCTTTGAGAACTTCTCATGCAGTCTGATGGATCCATGAAGACATGTACAGTAGGATTGTCATGCTTTGACCATGCAACTTACTGCTTGTCCTGTTTGGCCATGACACCCTCCCAGCTCGGATGATGGAAAAGCTCTGGCTTTGGCCGTCACAGGACCGAAAAAGCAGATCCAAAAGATGGGCGTAGTCCAAGCGACTCATGGTCCGACTTGGTTGTGAATGGGGTAGAATTCACCGTAGAACCACTGACTGACTGACTGACTGACTGAGGTTCCTATTCAATTCATGTCATTCTCATTTGGGTTTCTTTGTGTGTCACCTGAGAAAATCAACAATACTGTATGCCCTTCTGATTTCCTTTGGCTTTCGTTCCTTCGGTTGACAGAGGAAGTCAAAGGACACTGTAGACGAAGGTTTCCTCCTTGAAGGCAGTTCCTGGACCCACTTTGAAATGGAAGAGTGTGGGATGATGGATGATGGGGCTCTCAAAGAATCTTCGCTATCGTCTTGGCACTGCAATCAAGGCACTCTCCACCCAAGTGATGGCAGGTCATGTGGCAAACAGGTAGGCCTTTCTCCGGCTCACCTGCCTCCACGTCCTTTGTACCTTGCGAAGTGCAAACACGGCGCTCCTCCTGCTTGAACTGCTTTGGAGGATTCCATGTGAATCGTGGGGCGCCAGGCACAGGCTACAGAGGCCCCGGCTCACATGATCTGCTGACGCTAGGAAGGGCTCACCTGCCACAATTTGCATGCCGCATGAATGACCAAAGTCGTCATTAGACAAGGTGCCAAAAAATCCCTGCCAATCAAAGAAGTCTCAGCCCCCAGAGAAAAAAGAAACACTTGTGCATCTTTTCGCTAGTGGTCCGAACTGCAAAGGGCACTTGCTGTTGCCACATTGCTTCAGTCTTTCAAGCGTTCCAGCACATCAACCCTCCAGCCTTGGTAAGGAGGAAAAGCCAGTGCAGGATTCAAAGCAGCCTGGCACTAAGGATTCGGATCATGCGAAGCTTGGAGGCCTGGAACATCCTTGACTTTCACCTATAGCTTGAAAGCTTGCGCAAGTGAGTCATCCTGCTGAACAGACTGAACTCCCTGAGCGAGACCGCAGCCTCGCAAGCTACACCAGAGGCAGAATCCTCCTCGCCTGCATCGCAGCATTGGCGGCCAGACCGCTCCTGTGACCAAAATGAAGAAGAAGGAGAAAAAAAAAATGGCCGAGACAGAGAGAGAGAGAGAGGTAGAGATAGAGAGTCGAAAGTTATCCGATTTCTTTCTATGGCCGCCACGGGATTCATGGACCTCAAAGACCCCACATGCTGGACGTGCTCGTCCTTTCCCGCGAGACCTGGAGACCTGTCGGGCAGTTTTAACAACCCCACTGGTCGTTTGACCAAGATTTGGGACCCAATGCGTCAATCTGGGGGGGAGGACGGGGAGCATGGAATTCGTATGAATTCCCCAAACGCATCACCATGAGGGGTGACATTTATACACCTGGAAGCCAGAAAGTTCTCCTTCGTTCTTTCTAGTGAAAGGCCAGAAAAGGAGGGAGTTTGGCAGGCTGTCTGCATTGGTTCTCTAGCACATTGTGGACTAACATCTTCATCCTCTCCTGTAGGCTGCCTCATACAGAGTCTTCTCCGCCTCCACGGCAGACTTCACGGCTTGTGCCACCTTCTCGTGGCGCAAGGATGCCCAGGGCGGAGGTCATTCGGTCACGAGTCACCACAGTTCGCGATGGTGAAAGGACACCCAGACTCTCTGCACACCTAGATGACCTACACCGCGATTTCTAGTGGTCTTCAATCCACACCCGGTCGCCAGCGAGGGGGGTTGGCCTGAAACCGAAGCACACGGCACTGGTGTGGCTGATGGTGAAGATAGTCCTGCAGGACCTTTACGCGATGTTGCCTGGCAAGTTCAGTGGCAAAGTCTGCTGAGCCTTCAACACATGAGAACTGTCCGGCATGATTTTCAGATGGGTGCTCTCCTAGATCTTTTGGATCTCCTTCATTGCAAAATGTGAAATGTGTACCCGTCTCCATCCACCTGGCTGATGCATATTTCAACTTCAATCCTGACTTCGTCTCGACCTTCGAGCAGCTATCCCACCCCTCACGTATCTATGTCGCGTTGGGTCCCCATGGGCACCTCTCCAATCTGGACATCGCAGGGTGTCGCTCCGGAAGGGGCAATGAAGGACAAAGCTCCTCAACCTGAGGGCCATCCACGCGCGGTGTTTTCGCAAAAAAGGCGCGCGCGCACCGGTCTGAGGAGCCTGGTATGTTCACCGCACGGTTTACGTGGAGTTTCGAGTGAAGCGAAGTGGTCTAGAAAGGCTCCTGCCCTTGTCGCAAGTAGCAGGGCCCGGGTTCCTGTAGTCCCTTCCTCATCGACTGCTTCGTTGGCCCAAGCAACTTGCATGCTATCCACCGACCAGGAGAAAGTCCAGTGAGGTGTATTAAAGAAAGAGAAAGAACTTTGTAACAAGGGATGATTGGGGAGAAAAAGATCGAGAGGCGAACAGTCTGATAAATAGATAGTTCCAGCTGGGCCGTCTAGTGTAAATCTGATTGCGCGTCTCCTACATAAGGGTGGGTCATACGGGGAGCCCAAACGATTGCCACTTATAAGACTGTAAAATCCAAAAATCAAAAGCTGCCCTTGGAGCTGGCTTGTTGGACCCTAGCAGTCAATCATTGACCATCTTGACCTTCGTCCACCTCTTTCCTAAGGAAATGAGCCGAGATCAATGAACCATGGTCAACCATGCCGCCCGGGCAAGCACCCCGCTTAGCCAGGCCTTGCTCTGTAGCCACGAGGATGCGTTTGCCACTGCCTCTAGGCTGGCCTCCCACAAGGCAACTGTCACTAGTGAGGAGCCTGTTCACTTTTGGCAAGACTGTATTAGAGTCAGCGTTGGAAAGGAGGGCATCAACGTGGTTGAATCAAACATCTCTAAACACCCCAAAACTATGGCACTACATCTCCAAATGGTGTCCATGATGCCTCTTCCGATGCTGTGCAAATTCAGGTTTCCTGATAGTCTGTGATATTTGCTACAATTTCCAACTAGTGCGACACTAGAATCAACTACAACCAAAATTAGCAATGAGCACTGGACTTCTCCGACACTCTGGGTTACCTTGCCTGCACCACTCCCTGCAGTGCCACCCAAAAAGAACACGGCCACCGACCCGCACGCAACCGTTCCCTTTTTGTCCGAGCGCAGGCCGGACCCGTGGCTCTATCCACGAAACCTTTTTCCAGTGTACGGTCTATCTTTTTTTTTTTACCACCGCGGTCTGGTGCGCATGGCGCGCACCGGGCGCGAGCGGCCGCCGAGAGTCTTTGGAGGTCCTGGTCCCTTTGCAGGGCCGGGGCCGCGAACTGCAGCGCTTGAGAGGCGTGGCTCGGCCTCTGACGGTCCATGAGCTTCTGCCTGGGCGGCAACGTCGGAAAGGACCTGTCCGAAAGGTCGGAAACCCATCGCCTTCTAACACAGGAAGTGGCACAAGAGTGCCCTTGAGGTGGTTTTTATGGATATCTTCCTTCAACCATCGGCTTATTTCATGGCTTTGGATATGAGAGGCATCTTTTCACCACCACCAGCGGCAGGGCCCCAATATCCCCACCCCCATGATGGGGGGGGGACCTTTTTATTGTAACTTACATTTTCCATCATTTTCCATAGGTTGGTACCTGGAAAATGTAATCTAACATTTTCCTGGCAAGACGTAGAAAATGTAATATTACATTTTTCTGGTGCCAACATGCCTGAAATGACCTCAACAGACATGTAAGTTACATTATCAAGAAAAATGTAAGTTACAATTAGGGGACGTACGGGAAAGCATGCACAGATTGCACAAACATGTGAGATCATGTGAGCATTGCTCAAAACCTATGGGGAACTTGTTCTAACGGGCTCTTCTTTCGCAAGTTCCTTTCGCAACACTTTCGCGACTTGCGTTCTGGAAATTTTGAGGAAAAACACGTTAGCCAGCTTTGGCGGACGGAACTGATTTCGCAAGCTTTTGCTAGCGCTCTCGCCAGTTTTGGTTTGTCCCTGGCTCCCAGCGTAATTACAGTTGCTTTTCAGGTATGTCCTTCTTAAGGCTTATCTTCTTTCCAGCTGTTGTTTCTCTAGATTTGCTGGCGCCCAATTTTGCCTCATCCAAGGTTCTCAGCTTACATTTTCTCTTTAAAGTAGGTATATCCTTATTAAGGTTTATCGTCTTTCTAGCTGTTGTTTCTCTAGATTTGCTGGTGCCCTCCACATGTTTTGCTTATCCCAGGTTCTCAGCTTACATTTTCTCTGTAAAGTAGGAATGTCCTTCTGAAGGCTTATCTTCTTTCTAGCTGTAGCTGCTGTTTCTCTAGGTTTGCTGGTGCTCTCCCCAATGTTGGCTTCCCCCAGGTTCCCAACTTACATTTTAGTTTCAGGTATGTCCTTCTTAAGGCTTATCTTCTTTCTACCGGTTGTTTCTCTTGATTTGCTGGTGCCCAATTTTGCCTCATCCAAGGTTCTCAGCTTACAGTTTCTCTTTAAAGTTGGTATGTCCTTCTTAAGACTTATCTTCTTTCTAGCTGTAGCTGGTGTTTCTCTAGGTTTGCTGGTGCTCTCCCTAATTTTGGCTTCTCCCAGGTTCCCAGCTTACATGTTCTCTTAAGTATGTCCTTCTTAAGGCTTATCTTCTTTCTAGATGTTGTTTCTCTAGATTTGCCGGTGCCCTCAATCATTGCCGTCGAGTGCGGAGCTTGTCACAGGGTCGCACGCTTGGCTGAAATGCTATGGTGGCCATGCATTTTCAAGCCTGCTTTCTGCATGTTACATTTATGTATTGTCAAAAGCAAGCAGCATTTGGGTTTTTGCTGCTTTGGCCTTCTGAAAGAAGACGTCCAACCTCCCTAAGTTACATGGTTCATTCTATAAAAAGAGGGGGGGGACCTGGACGTCAATAAATGTAAGTTACATGTTTTCACGCCCCCCCCCCATGTGTTTTTCTGCGTCTCTTCTATGAGTGTTTCCCCCAATTTCCCCAGGGATCTTCCAGAGATCTCCAGTCCGCGCATGTGTTTTTGGGGGGGAGGGGGTCAAAATGTAACTTTGAAGCTTTCACAGAAACAAAATGAAGCAACCTTCTATGCCTTTGCTTGATGTTGCTGGCTACGTGAGCAAGGTCCAACCCCCCCTACCCCCCCCCCAAAAAGGCCTGAAACTGGACCAGGGGCGTGTAAGTTATATTTATCACCCCCGAAGAAGTAAGTTACAATAAAAAGTTCCCCCCCCTGGTCCCCCCCTGTTTTCAGTGCCTAAGGGGGTGGTGATGCCCCAATAAGGGTCTCAGCAGCTAGCCCTTTCCTTTCAACCAGTGCGAGCCACAAGAAGCTCTTCTCCGCCAGCAACGCGGGATCCGCAAAGCTCAAGGCGAAGCAGTCCTCCTCTCAGGGGTGACAAACGGCAACCACCAAGCTTAAGCCCCAAACATCATCCGGTTGGGGGGCGATGACGAAGGAAAACGACTCGCAAAGCAAGAGGTTGGCCACGTTGGCAACCAATAACTTCAGGTTTGGGTAGCGCACGATCAGATTAAAAATTAGTTGCCTTCAAGTCAATTATTGAGGATCGTTGAGGGTTTCCTATGTAAATCAATAAGGGACCGAGGGAACAAACCAGAAGCTTGTACAGTGCGCTGGCACCAGATGCAGAACATGGAGGAGCATTGCAAGAGAGCAAGAGCATTGAACCCAAGCCTTGAAACCAAGTTGATCCCAAGCGTGCTTGTGAAAATTCAGATTCACTTCAGATTCCTTCAGACTTCAAAGAACAAAAAAAAACGAGTCACGCCGATCCAGGCCAGTCCTCCGATGCCAGCCTGAAATTGGAGAGCTTCACGTGTCGGGGGTGACTGCGGGAGGAACGGGCATGTCTGAAACGTAGGTGTCAACATGTGTCAACTGCATTATCCGACTGGACCAGCGATTCCACTGATTCTACTATAGAACGCAAGCTACGTATCGCCCAAGCATTTCAGACAAGTGGCAAGACCAGAGCAGGATCGCGGCGCAAGTCGTGCGATGCAAATTGCAAGGCTCGGCCCTGTTGTTGCAGCACGCGGCCCATGAAGTCCCTGTTAGACCTGGCATTGACACTCGTTGATGGGGCTCAAAGCTGGCCTGGTCACTGTGCTGGTTGATTCATCAGGATTTAGATGGCGGGACCCTGCCTTGCAGGGATGCTTTCTGAACTATCCCTTGCAGTTGATCCAAGAAGGAGACATTATTAACCATCCCTTGTATCAGAGGATCTGTGACCCCCTTAGCTTTCCCTGCCCCTTGACCATCTCAAAGACTTCAAAGTGTAGGGATCACATCTCACTGCGCCATATTCCTGTGTCATCTAACTGGGTCACATCTCACTGAGAGATACCGAGGTGTGACTGGGTCATCATCAAACTTCCTGTGATTTGTAGTTTCATGGGACTCTAGCCAGGGGGAAGTCCATGGACTCCCCCTCAAATGGGCCCATGGTGTCTCCCCGAAAGGAGCTCGCCTCAGGGCCTCGGCAGCGAAGCGCAGCGCCACGCGGTTTTGCCGGGCGGCCGCGAAGGCCAGGTCCTCATCAGCCTGGGGCCGAGGGAGTCATCAAATGCAAGCGATGAGGTGCAAGAATTCCATACGCGATATGATAAAACAGAAGTGGAAAAATGGTCGGTATATCATAACACATCTACATTTACATGGCGGTGGTTTTAAACATGTGTCAAGTGACTCAAGTGTTTGATGTTCTATGATATGGGATGCCTGCTCATATGTGATATATATGATATACATTGATATGCATAGGATGCCCGCTCTTGAACTGGAATCGTGTGTATCTCGAATCCACCAGGGCAAGGCTAAAAATAGTGTGTCCAGTGTCGAGTCTGGTGCATGTCCTTTCTGGGCGTCACGGCACGTGTCCACCGCCGCTCACACCGTCCTTGAGCATCTCATCCGCCAGGCGCAGCAGCAAGCCATCCCGCTGCACCACCGCCATCATAACCGCCTGCTCTGGGCGGACTGGCTCATCCCTGGTGAAAACATGTCAATACCCTCCAGCTGAAGACCGGAACTGGTCAACCAAAAGCCTGTCTGATCTGAAAAGGATGAAGGATGGAGGACCGTGGTTAACTGGGCTCTTCTTCTTCTTCTTTTTCTTCTTCTTCTTCTTCTTCCTCTTCTTCGTTTGGCATGGTGTTGGGCCGAAATGATGTTAATTCTCAGGGTCCCTCCAACTACTCCACCTGGAAACCCGAAGAACAAACAGGGGCAAGGGAATGGTTGTGCACCCTGGCCAACTTCTAACTTCTAGAGTCAAACTGGTTGGGATGGGGGGCTCTGACTGCACCATACAAGAAGTGTTTGTGCAAGAAACCTGTCATCTATGCTGAGACCCACTTAAAAGCTGCTTTTCTTCTTGGGGTTCCTCCCTTGTCGCGCCACTGCACCTTGTCGCTTCGCACTTCGGGGGCTGCAGCTTCCTGAGACTGAATGGCTGGCGAGAACCCGGCAGTGCTGGAACCACTGAACGCCCGTGATCCTGCCTTCCCCTTGCTTCACAAAGCCGTCTTGAGTCTTGATACTCTAGGATCATGTCTGTCAGAATTGCATGTATTGGAGGGAAATTGGGAGAAGCGCCCTGACATTGAGGTGTTGTTGGCAATTGAGTGGAAGCTACTTCATCTTAAGACCTCTTGGGGGGGTTGTTTCTGCATCAGTTCATCCCAACACCTGCACCCAGCATTTTTGCCCATGGAGCCAATGGAGCCCGTAGGCAAGTCCTTCATTGGTGTGGACATGTGTGGA